GTAGTCTCCCCCTCACCCTAAATAACATGGTGAGGAAGTCCAGCAGTTCATCTATATGTAAAGAAGCACTTAAACTAAAACAGACATAGCTACGTTAATCCTACCATAAAACAATAAGAGAAAGTCCGACCTTTCTCGTGCTCCCAGGATGTGGGTGTGTGGAATACACACCAAGCCTTTGCAGCCTGTTAAAGATCACACAACCTATCCCTACACAATTGATTATATGCCTCTAAGTATACATGGTTGAATATTTCCTAATACAAATAACTACAAGCAGTATTCTACCATATGCAAACTTATATCACTAAAAGATTATACTGACTACTAAATACAATTTTCCATTGACAGCGAACGTGGTGAACTGCTCCACATTCTTACGAGTATTTACAGACCCCTTTTTTCTATACATGCTGACCCCATTTAGGGCCCCTGGATTCCAGGAGGAGTAACCCCTTCACCCTTCACCTCTCTCTCACTTCCTGCTCTACCTAGCAACTGCTACAACAATAAATGCTAATTGGTTTACTGTCACAGCCAATCCCATGGATGAAACTAGGAATTTATTTACAAAAAAAATTCCATTTAAGCGTCTCCTGGAAAGACAAAGGAAAATCACAGAGGCATGCGTCTGTGTGGATATTTTGATATAACAGTTTTAGTTACAGAATTTCTTTAGATGAAGTAAGATGTCAATTTTAATCTAAAATGTGTCCTGCTTTTGATTAATAATCAGAAAACAGTGATGTAGATTTATGTACATAAATGTGTTAAGATAAACAAGCTGTACAAGTATAACTATGACACATGGGCACATGGTGTCATTTCTAATATCAGTATATTCAGAATCAATAAAAATCAATGAAACACTATATTGACCACACATTAAGACACTGCAGTTAAAATCATACTGTGCTTCGTTCACACATGCTAGCACTCTGCCACCACCTTGTGGTCAAAAACAGTAAATTAGCTAGAGTTTAGAGAAGCCCAGGATATTTAACTGGC